TAAAATGAGTCTTTCTACACAAGTACAGAGCACAGACCTCAGAAACTGGGCCGATTGCCAAAAATGTATACGCAGCCCATCGTATAGCTCCACGGGGAGTGTGCCAACGATTTTCAAACCTCTCGCTATATTTCAACTAAGTTGGCAAAACAGTATTGCAGGCAAACAAAAACGAGCAGAATAAAATTACGAACGTTTGATCGCAAAATATTTATTTCCATTTAAAAAGGGGTGTTGAGAGCTGATTAAATGTCATCTAAAATTCGTGAGCCGTAATGCAATTGTGTTGAGTACATTAAAAATTCAGAAGACCGCTGTCCACGGCCAGGTACGGACAAAGTTGGCGATGGCTGTACGGGCTTTCCAATTTTTAGTCGCAGGAAGGCAACGCAATGAATATTTAAAATCTTCGTCGGCCTCCGAACATGGTACACTTGAGTGGCTTAGATAAAAGAGGACGGATAAAATAGCTCACTTTTTTCGGTCTTCGGGATAAAATTAAAATATACATTTTGTTTAAGATATAGCCCGTTCACCAAAGATCAATGGCCCATTAACTACGAGTTTTTAAATTTTAATTTCACAAAATCTGTTACTATAATTCCATATTATTAAAATACCTATAGTAGTTTTGGCCTTCCATTTCTATCTCTGTTTTGGATTATGCTGAAATTCAGAATCAAACCGCATAGTTCAGCATAATAATTTTTGATGATATTGTTAGATTGAGAAAATTAAGTACTGCCATGCTGTCTGTTTAATTTTATGTTTCATTCATATTTTTATATTTAAAGTTGTTGTTAATTACAATCAAAACTTCAACTTGAGGTCTGATATCTATAATTTCTGGTAATCATTTAACTTCCAAAATAATCAATTATATAATTCTATGATATTATTTTACAACCTGGGTACTTACGATTTATTTTCCAAAATCGAGCTTGACAGATATTAATGAGCGTCTGAAGATTCAGTTGGCTTTTAGAATTTTATAACGATTTGTATAGTGGGCTGTAAGCAACTTCAAATTACTCTAAATTAAATTCCATAGTATCTTTTATAACACAAGAAAATATATAAGAAATAGTAATTCATTGAATACACAATTGTGACTTAAAATTCATATCAGATAATCATTCAAACGACCACACGTAAGCGAATCATCTCCAAAAAACCAGCCTACTGTATAATTAAAATGGCGAAAAAGTAAACCGTATAATATTTATATAATAGTAATTGATCTAACTGTATATGATATTGTAAATATAATTTTTATGCAATACAAAATCTAATAAGGAAGTCAATTGAAATCTTTTTCGACGCCTGGTTAATGATATCTTGAGACCTAGCCGTGTGTGTATGTGGCCCACCTACTTTTGACTATGGTTTTGTAAAATGTTAACTAGATAAGTATTTTTGCGTTGCTGCGTTTTCCGTTTATATTGAAGTACCTGTTCGGTATATAATAAACAGCTTTTTCTATGAAAATATTTTCCTTATATCCTATATTTAATTTAAAATACATTGTGCTCTATTATTACCGCTATTTATAGTAATGAACATGAGGTATTCATCTACTGTTGCAAAAAATATATCTTACTTAGAGTTCTCTCGTGTTACACAATGTAGAGACAGTTCCACACAGAAGCTTGGATTCTAGAGACGTTTCAGTGGATGTAAATGTCGTTGACTATCTTCCATGCAGTGGACTGATGGAATAAAGGCTGACAAATGTTCCTCTTAACATACGCGTCAAACAGACGGCGGCGCAAAATGAGTAGCGTAAGACAAAAATTAATGACAGCCACTCTTCGCTCTGTTTTCTAAGAGTGATCAAAATAGAAAAAAATAGAATTAGAGAAAGTTTTTGATTAATAAAATAACATTTTTCCCTCGCAGCTTTAATGGTCGTATGGGCAAAAATACCTATTTAAACATTCAAATTTAGAACTGACTAAAATATAATATAATTATAATCTGTAACGATTAAAATAGTTCCACATAATATTAAAACAAGACCAACAATCAATTTAAAAATTTATATGTTATTGTTTGCCATTAAATCTAGATTAGTAATAATAACATATCGATAATTTATTCTCAAACGAATAAAATTTTTAATCAGATATTTGCGCCGGCTATAAATCATTTTTTTTATTGCTTAGATGGGTGACAAATCTAATTTGCAACCCTAATGTGTGATTCTTCAAAAAATCCATTTAAATATCTCCATTAAAAAATATACTATGTAACATATTTTTCTCGTGTAATCAAATAGCGACAGTGATTGATATTGGGAATCGATTATCAAATTTTAATTTATACTCATCAACATTGCGGTTCAACAACCATCACGTGTCTATTTTTATGATGTATTCGCTAAGTTGTATGATCTTCTTTATTTTAAATACAATTTAATTTTCATCTAATACCAACAACCGCTCCCTTTCTATTCTTGTCAACGATCATTTTTGTTCGTAAAAAATACAGTGCCAATGCCATATTTCAAAAAAATTAAATTTATTCTTTATAAGGAATTTCCTGTAAATTAACTGCCACCGATTATTGATATTGTAATTGGAGTTTGATTGTAGCAGCTGTTAGAGAAAAATTAAAATACTGATACAACTATTGTTCAAAAACGCTTCCATTACCAATGCTCACCTTGCTATTTTGTATTCATGGAACGACAGAAATAACTTGAGGACTCGGTTTGAAGCAAATAAGTACAATCTCACGTACCTACATAAGAATGTGATATACGAATATTTAAATTTAGGATAGAGTATCAAAGATTCTACAATATAGAGCCATCGGCACACCAAAAATGTATATTTTAAGACAAGCACTCTTATTAACACGTTCATCAGAGAGACAGTAGCGCTCTATAACTAGGGTGATAAGACCCGCTACTGATTGTCATTATTAACCATGACTACTGTTGTAAAGTGTGCCCAGCTTTGAAGAGTAATTATTCCGTAGGCTATTTCCAAAATGTTTGAATTACTTAGGTAATAGTTGTTTGATAAATAACAAGCAACGTGAAACTCACAACGGAATATAGAGTGCAAATAAAATATTCACAGATGTCGCTCTCCATTTATATCGTATCGAGAGTTTTAGGGGTTTGATTCCAAAAACCAGACTTGATCATGTCTACAAGCTTAAACGCTATTTCGAAAGGGGGCGTTTTTAACAGATTGTTAATGATTAGATACCGACTTTGTTTAAGTAAAGCTACTTCTATTTTAATAATTAATAAACACTTTTAAAGAGGGTTTTTAGATTACGCTAAATTAAAGTGACCACATTAAGAGGAAAATAATAGAAACAATTATCATGAAACAAAACAATTAAACATTTTATTACGATACGCCTGTCCTATTTTTTCAAGAGAGTCTTTAGTCAGCTGGTTCCAAATTAAATCCTACCAAAAGAACCCATATTTGCTACTAGAAATCGAGCATAAGTGGTCTAATTTCTAGGATGCTCATCTCTCCGTGAGTCAATCCGTGGAATCTTGTGTTTATATTCACTGTTATAGTTCAAATTTTTTTTATTTATATTTACTTTTGTACTTCTTTTTTTTGTAGGTTATTTATTGTTTTTTTAGAGCACTTTGGCTCAATTGACGGTATTTCCTGAGTTGGTTTCGACTGTCCGCTAGCATAGGAATATGAATAAAAAAATCAGCATTATAACAGGATGTGAGTAATCTTAAAACATTTTGTCAAGAATATAAAGCTCAATTATAAAAGGAGAAAAATAGAACTATTATACGAATACAAATTAGTTTTATACGAATTTTCGTACAGCTTCACTTGCGTTCTTAGCTTATAGACTAGTAATGAAGTTATCCAAAACCCAGTATATAATATACAAATAATGTATAAATATAAATTTAAAATTTTATTTTGTTACTAACGATTTTCAACAAATTGGTCAATATTCAATTGTATTGTGATGCGTAGAGAGAAGATGCATGTGACTAGGAGATGTATGGAAATGGTAGTGCAAGGTAGAGGGGGAAGAGGTCGACCGAAGAAGACATGGATGGAGTGTGTGAATGACGATATGAGAGAGAGAGGAGTGAGTGTTGAGATGACGGCTGATAGAAGAGAATGGAAGAAAAAATTAGCTGTGCCGACCCCACCTAGTGGGATAAGGTGGAGAAAAAGAAGAAGAAGGTCAATATTCAATTGATTCAGAATTGTAATTAGATAGCAACATAACAAATTCAAAGTCATTAACACTACACAGCTCAACCTCGTATTGATCAATGTCAGAATATAATGGCTCTTCGAAGCTGAATAGTAATGTAAATTACGTAGCATTATCTACAAGTGTCTACAAGGTGCTACGTCTATCTACGACAAGCTACGTCAGTTAGCAAAAATCTCGTGGACGACTACGAAGGACATTCAGTAGCTTTTTTATTGCTATTAATTGACAGAAAGAGATAATCCATTGCGCATTAGGTGGTTATCGGAAATCATGATTTCACGACAAAAATAAGCAAGATAGGCAAGGTACTTACCCGTGTGGGTCCACGATGTACCTGTCAGCTACGATGGCGACCTACCACATTATTTTTCTTCCATGCTATGGTTACGAAGCATATAGATACGAGATGAAAATGTGTACATATGGATAAATAATAAAAAAAATACCATGTAACTCCCTACAATCGGGTATCGAGTCGAAAGCTCCACGGTACAGACGTCGGTCATTAATCACCAGGATTCTGGTTGCAGATAATACCAGAAAAGCTTTAAGCTCGTTTAATGGTCTATACAAGAAAATGAGTACGGCTAAAACAATATGTTGGATGAGTTTTTAGTATCTTTAATGAAGGAAAGAGTAAGGTTTTAACTAATTTTGCGTGTTACTAGAATTCTAATATTAATAATTCGATACGTTAAGGAAATAATAGGGCACGAAGGTAAAAATAGAGCCTAAAAATTTTATAGTGTTCCTCGAGTTCATCACGTACATTGTAAGCTTCGGTAGTTCAATGGATAGAACGTCCGCTTTCAAAGTCGGAAACTCCAGGTTCGAGTCCTGGCCGGGGCCCCGCGTAACCGTGTTCCGCCGAAGAGATTTGTGCAAACAAATCGAAACGGCGAACCCGGTTACGCGTTTTGTCAATTAGGATTAAAACATCTTTTTGTATAATTTCATATTTTAACATTTTTTTTTTTCATTTTGTATTATTTATTTTTGGTTTGTTCATTCAAAAATTGATGTTAGTGAGTAAAATTTTACCAACCCCTTAAACTCATCATTAATATGATTCCTCGATGATCAAATAGATAGACGAAACTTTTTACTTTTTAAATTATATAAAAGTATTATATATATTATAATATATATTAACTTAAAAAATGTAGCTCATAAACGAACGAAAAATTTTTTAAAGAACATTTTTCGTAGCTAATTTTTATTTTTTGAGATTTTTGGAACAGTTCCATCTGTGAAGTGAAAATGGAAGCTTTTAACCGGCAAAATGCCTTTGCAGGCTTCAAATTAGCTATCTAACCTCTTGACTAGAATGTAACTAAGTCCTGAGCTTTATTTCAGATGGCGATGTTATTGACAGAAAATAATTATTACCAACTAGCTGGCCCGGCAGACTTCGTAGTGCCTCAATCGATAAATAAAAGACCAAATTTTGCATAAAATAAACTTAAAACAAAAAAAGGAATCCGCGTTCGACGGGGGATACATCAAAGGAAAAACAAAATTGTTATTTTTATTTAATTCCAAGTATTTTCATATTTATTTACCTTTAAAACCTTTTCTGGACTTCCACAAATAAGTCAAGACCAAAATTAGCCAAATCGATCTAGCCGTTCTCGAGTTTTAGCGAGACTAACGAACAGCAATTCATTTATTAAGTATATAGATAGAATAGCCAACATCGCTCTAAATCATCACTAAGCTGTGAATATACAATAAACATGAGCTAAAAATTCATGTAGTATTCTGTATTATTTGAAAATATTATTTATATTTGTGTCCATTTCTAAATTACATCCAAAATTCATATTGCGTTACGCATTTGTCCCTAGACTCACTATATTTCACTAATGCGTTCTTCCTAACTCAATTTTATATCAGTATACTTGTTTAATACAAATATTGAGGTTCCCTTTTTAAGTCGTTTCGTATGAGCTAACTTACTAAAAACGTAACTTAAATCAAATATGAATGTTATATAATGAATTCTAAAAACACAAAGCTAAAAAACAAGAAATCATACTCGAATTCAGCTGCGTCATACCGGATCTGCTTTTTGATTCTTGTTTAGCTTCACTGTATTTTTTTTGGGGTCTCGACCTATATTATTTGATATATTTAACGTTATTCTTTCAGATGAACTGTTTATCTACATAATTACAAAAAACACACATGCAATATTTTTTATAGGTCTATTTTACGATGGCAGGCAGTATTATAATGTCGCACAAGGTAATAACATCAAATTTTACGAGAATTTCATGAAAACCTGCTATATGGTGTCAATTTATAATAGAATAGTATCACCCCATCTCGTTCCGTAGATGTCATAAAACGCGACTAAGATGTGTAGCGATTCACGAGGGGTTTTCGTAGTTATATACTAACGTATTGTTTTTTTTTTATTTCGCTTGTAGGCAGACGAGCATACGGCCCACCTGACGGTGAGTGGTTACCGTCGCCCATGGACTTCAGCAATGCCAGGGGCAGAGCCAAGCAGATTGCGAACTGGCACTTAGGGTATATTGTAAGACCGTAGCAGTAGGCACCATTAATCTGACTATTTTTGCTGCGAAGCAATCATACGTTCTAGTTGAAAGGGTGAGCCAGCCGCTATGCAAGCAGACCACACTTAAGTTTTTTATCTCAAGCTTGACGGCGCAATTCAAACTCCCCTATCTATGGGGTTCGGCAACCAAAGAGTATTGACCTAGTGGATTGTGAGTTCGTTCATCTATCTTAATAAAAATATGAGGAATAAGCAAAATTATTTATCTATCTTAAATATTAATCATCTAAAACCTAAATAGAATAACAATTTGCACTTAAAAACATCACAATGATTTGAAAGTTTTTTTTATATTTAAAACTTGTGCTTAATTACTTAATTTTGAACTGAAGTTGTTCGGGGTTATTATTATGACATAAATGTCAGAACAATGATATAATTAATTTAGTAGTTCCTTTATTTTCGGTCCATTAACATTTAAATATCAAGTTACGGTTCTTTATACCTTCTAGAAATTACCTATAGTTTTTATAGCTAGTGCCTTACCAACCACTTATTGTTTTTAGCTACCTACCATTGTACACTACAAGTGTAATACACCAAATCACTTTTTCGGCGAATTATTTTTTTTTAATTTTTTTTATTGCTTAGTTGGTTGGACGAGCTCACAGCCCACCTGGTGTTAAGTGGTTACTGGAGCCCATAGACATATACAGCGTAAATGCGCCACCCACCTTGAGATATAAGTTCTAAAGTCTCAGTATAGTGACAACGGCTGCCCCACCCTTCAAACCGAAACGCATCACTGCTTCACAGCAGAAATAGGTAGGGCGGCGGTAGCTACCCGTGCGGACTCACAAGAGGTCCTACCACCAATAAAAAATCTATCATAGTCATATCTATAATGTAAATTTACAAAACAACGTAGAGGTCTCAGTTTTATAGGAGATCATGATCCTCTACGATACTGTAATTTATTTCATAGAGTCATCTAGCCACTAACCAAAGTGTACTTCATAGACTCAAGGATTCGCTCAGAATCCTATGCTGATTGAGTTTGGAGGATAACAGATGGCGCGATTTTGAATTTTCGCAACAGAGGGTCGCTATAAGTTGAAGCCATTACAGAGGTCATCCAGGTATCTGAGGGTTGGCGCATGCGATTTAGTAATTTTCTCCCGTAAGGTTAAGATATTCAGTCTACACATTAGCGGCCCATTAGCTCAGTTGGTTAGAGCATCGTGCTAATAACGCGAAGGTCGTGAGTTCGATGCTCACATGGGCCAATTAGGTGTATTTTTTTATAATATATTTTGCAAATTTTTATTACAAAAGGCTGCATTCACTAAAAAGCAAAGTCTGGCTTTACAATTTCAAAAATTTAATAAATCACAGTAATATGTGATTCCGTTTAAACCGTAGATGTTGTATTATTTAAATAAATCGGATTGTTATTCGGACGCGTCCTTATATTTCGATTTGATAGATAGAATGGCTATTAGTCTAATGGTCAGGGGGGAAGTAATTTTTGCGCTGTACAACGATCTGGTGTAACCTTATTCTATTAAAAACAAATGTGAAAATCGGACCTACTGTCTAGGTAATTAGATTAAAATAACAAATAAAATTTAATTTTATCTTTTCTCCATATACTAGATAACTAGTAGGCTAATTAAATGATTACTGATGCCGATGTTAATAACCGGGTGAACACCGCCAGCTTAAAACCCAAGCCAACTTAAAACACTAAGGCAAAGTATACTATACTTTCTGTACAGGATAACGGTTATTTAGGTTTTTTACAGCAGAAATCATGATTACTTCATAGCTGTAAGCAACAACGCGGCTGCATTGCATTTCTGGAATTCATATTATTATAAAATTCATCTTTTAAAATCTTATTTTAAGATATAACCCGAAATACTATTACAGTTTTAAGATAAGCAATCAGGCATCGGTGGTTCAGTGGTAGAATACTCGCTTGCCAAGCGGGCGACTCGGGTTCGATTCCCGGCCGATGCAATATTTCTTTTGATCTCCCCTTAAATTTTAAATTTTAAAATTTTAAGGAAATTTCAGATATTTATTTAGCGGTATTATGAGAAGCCTTGTGATGGAGCTGAAATCATCTTTATGCAAAGATATAGATACAGATTCTAAAAAATACTTTAAAACGAAGCGTGAGATGCCTTTAGCTTTCGTCTCTAGCTAACGAAAATGAACTAAATATTTTTTTCAGTACCATTAAATATTTCACTTATTTTATACGTTGTTGAATATTGAATTACGTTGCTTCTTTCTAATAAAGCAAATGAAAAATAAAGATTTACAGGAATTGTCATAAACATAATATGAATATAGTGAAGTTGTAAATTAATTTCGGAAAAGTATGCTTAATATGTTTAAGTGGAAACAGTTAAATAATAAATTCGAATCTGAAATTTTAGTTACTTTATTTAGTTAGGCAAGTTTAGTTTAGTTAGTATTACAACAGATTTGCTCTCCCTTTGAGAAGCACAGAATGAAGATTAAGTAATAATATATAATGAAATATAATATAATAATGTATAATGATTACTTGATATGAATACTCCCTTGATAATAATGTATGATGAAGAATATATTTTTCCGAATTTTCGCTCTGCTTCTCTGGATGAACGTCGTTAGTTCAATGATTAGAACGTGAGTTCTTACAAGCGTTAAATCTGGGTTCGAATCTCGGCCGGTATCAAAGAATGAGATTTGCGTTTTTTTTTTTTTTTTGGATTTAACCCAATTTAGTTTAAGATATATATTATTTATCTTGATTTGAATTTTGTAAACTATTACGAAACATAGTATTTGTTTTTTTTTTTGCAGAGGCTGTATTTCAAAATTTTTTTTATTTCCCAATTATAATTGAATTAGGAAACTTCAAGAGGACTTTTAAAAACTTATTTCTACTTGCTACTAATCACTGATTTCATAACAATATTTACAGGCATTTCGTATATACCAATAATAATTTATTGTCATTAATTCCGATCTGTTATTCGATTTCATTTTTTAAAAAGGAAAATTGTTACAATATTTATTTATCTATCGATTTTGTAATCTTACTTACCCAAAAGCCAAACTATGAACATAAAACTTAATACCTTGACTATATAAAAGGTTCACTAGATAAACGAGCTAGTTAAGTCATTCTCATCATTAGGTGTGGAATACAACTCTCCAACTTCTATTGCTTTTGAGGTTTCCGAATAAAGCATAAAGCACTGACTAAAAATGCTTCTGCTTTTTGGTATGTTTGATTCCATTGAAACTAAGCATTATCTTTATCAGG